GTTTACAGGCTGCAGCAGATGATAGACTACCTGTGAAATTTTCTAGTCGGAACTTGTTTTATAGCGTGGTCTCTTCGCGGACGTCGGTAGGGCTAAACAGAACATCTAATGTACACTTGCGTGACCAACGTTTGGCCATGACAGTATAGAAATATCAGCATAACACACACCAACCTCAACAATTACAACAAAAGTGTCAGAAAATTTGCACCTCAAAATTCAGCTGAAACAAAAAAGTGCCGATCAAATATCGAGCAAGTATGTTCATCTAGGCGCAAGGTGACCACAATTTGTAAAGGCATAGGTTGTTGCCTCGTAGTCAGCATCCGGAAACCGAAATGCGCCTATTTCGACAGATACTTGGTTATTCAATAAGTTTGCTGGCGATAACAATACACTTGTTGTAAAATACGGTACCCCTTTCTATACGGATACGGATGTTTCAATCTAGAAAATTGAAAACATAGATTTGGTAGGATGCAACCTGCTTAAAAGTAAAAAGCACCGTAACAAAGTAACAAAATATATTGCTTCTCATCTTTAAATAGAAAGATTTGAATATTGATTTTTTGGATGCATCAACGATATGATCACGGTACGATAATATACGGAAGCTTTTCAGAAAATTTGCTTCATAAATGCTTGTTTTACAACTAGAATCAGGGATCGATTAGCGTTTATTGTGCTGACGATGGAATTTTGACACACAGATTTCCTCCCAAGGCCCACGACAGCTTCGGCCTTAATACGTCCAAAGTTAAACGTGCTGTGTCGATGACAGAAAAACACGTTGCAGTACCAATGAAGCAAAGTTACTCAAATATGTTATAATCGAGTTATCCTAAACTACAGATCGTATGCTGAAGCTTCCCTTAAACAGCATCTGACTACAAATTAAGAGGTAACAAATGAGACGCATACAAAAACACTTCAGTAATTTATAGAGAATCAAATTATTAATCAATTGCCAACAGCACCGCCTTTCGTTAGAAGAAAAAGAGATGCGACAGGCAGTTCATGTAATAATTTCACCGCCAAGCAAGCTATAACACACCAAAAGCCACTATTTTTACCTAAGTTGGTCCTTTTAAGAGAAGTGGACGTGCAATACGGCAATGACGCACCCCAAAACAAGCCCAACGATTGTATCGGTCGGATAAGTTTAAAAATTACTTCACTTCAAACAGTTTTGACTCCACACACTATGCTTTGATTAATTACCTAATAATTACGTTTAACTTATGATATCCCCTAATTAATTTTAGATAAAGATACCTGAACTCTAATATTACCAGCTATTCATATTAGAATTTGTATACTAGTTTACATGGTGTTGGCTCTTAGGAGGAGGCCAACACGTTGTAGAAAAAGGAGCACCCATTTAGTTAACACTAAAAAATCTAACGTACGTCAAAAGTAAGATTATATCGGGACGCGCTCAAGTCGACTGTGAAGATCTGCAAATCTTGATAGTCGATTTTCATAAAAGTAAACTAGCACTTCAGAATTGTCATCAACAAATCTGAAGCTTAAGAACTTCAAAATAAAGAAGATAATAGTTATGTACTGTGTAACTGTGACGCTATACCTCCCTAGGAAGAAGGCCTCTGATGATCCTCAAGACTCACGGAAATACTGAGAACAAAGCTACTAGCCAAGTGTATAAGCGCAAAGTGACCTGTCTTTGTATTCAAAAACAACCATTCAAGAAATACATGAGATAAAAAAATAATAGTTACAGGCAATTTTATTATTATAGCCCATTTTCCGCTGACGTTTTTCAGCGTCATCACGCCATTTTTGTCCACTTCAAAGCTCTGAAAAACGGATTTGTGTTTCTGTTCAATTTGTTCTACGCCTAACGCTAACTAAAAGGATTTAACAAATACATATCTGTATCACCAGATTAGTAGTAGTGAAAAGCGTTTCCTCTACCAACCCCTATCTGCCGATCCGTTGTGGGCCACGTAAGGTCCGCTAGTCGATGATCATTGATTGAACAAGTGCGAACGATACCTGCTTCGCACAAGGTGCTGCTCTTATCACGATCGATGACATCATGTTACGTAGTTGTAATGATATCCCATTAACAACAACAACAAAACAAGCCACATTTACCAGCAAAATCGTAGCTATTTCAGACCGATAAAAGCCTTGTATCGACAATGACCCCTACTATACAGGAAATAAGTAGGGGCTTGCTATATACATACATATATGTATATACGCCCGCATTAATTATTTTTGCAGCATCATGCCGGCGGGTAACACAACGTAATTTTGTCGTTTGTTTGTCAACGAGGAACCGTCTGACTTAATGAAGAACGAGTGGAAAAACTAAGCGATGAATCTTTTCGTAGCGTTTCGATCCGTAGCATTTTCCTTCACCAGAAACCATCGTACGCTGATGTCGTTCTACTTGCGTGTTTACAGCATAGATAAGCTGGTTTTGTCCGTATAGTATTTATAAATAGCGTTTCATTGATTTTTGACATTCGTTGTATGTTTATGTCAATATAAACGTTAAACCAAAAATGTATATGCTATACTGGACAAAGCAGCACTGAATTAATTATTGATATCTTTCCTTAAGTCTTAAATTTGACACAGCCCGCTAGGAAACGTTCGAAAAGGAAAACAATTATTCAGGTGAAACAGACTATCCCTTTTGCAAGGTTAAAATTTCCTTGATAAAACCTCTCCCTTCCATATGTTTATAAAAAGTTAGCGTTAGAAAAGTACTTACCGGAAATATGCTTGCGTACTGTAATTCAAATATAATTTCCGCACACTATAAATGAAGCAAGAATTTGTTTACGCCTTCGTGCTCTCCAAGGCCTTCTGCAAAGCATTTTAAAAGGAATACTTTTTGATGTTTTGTTCAGAGCCGGATGTGTTTAATTAATTCTAGAATCCTAAAAACTCGCTGATCGATTGTTAATAGAGCTAATAGAGTGTTTCTATTAGTTAGGTTGTTGCAAAAATGATTACAGAATCGACTTTTTTCTTTTGAGAATCATGATAGCTATTCCGGATCTCCTTCTTACCCTGATCCCTGTTCAGACGAATTTATTACGGCTTGTATAGTATTAGAGATAGTTTGACCATAACTTATACACACCGCCCTGTCGTGTCATATCAGGGCGATTCAATCATAATGCAAAAAAAACGATCGAAGGTGCTGATAACCGCGGTACAAAGGCGTAGCATGGCTCCGTAGGGAAAGCATTGTCAATCAAGATGTTACTTTAACTAAAAGGAAGCTTACAAACATCGTTTTTAGACTTCACAAGAACTTCTAACTTTCGTGCTTAGTCTGCGAATAGGTAAAAGCAACAGCTATGCACCCAATGTATTTAATACTATATACGAACAGAAAAATTCAACCGATGTAATGATGTTGGCCAGATGAATGGAAAACAGCATGGCTAGCACATGCTTTTTGTGACACAGATCTACTTTGTACTAAACTGACGGGACAAATGAGCGCAGGGGCCAAACATGCCATATGTCAGAGTCTGCAATTAAGCCTTGTATTGACAAGGGCTTGCCAGCGACTGCGAATGGAGAATGCCGCTTCTGTCTGATATGACAACTAGTCGTAATCTGAATGATTTGCCAATGTATATGGCATAAGAGAAAGCGCAACTTAGGCTTGAATAGACGAACTTGAGTTTTGGGAAAATACATTTCTCGGAAGAAAATGTAGCAGATCTTTCATGTGAGCTATGAATTCGATGCCAGTGACATGGTGCTTATAAAATGACCAAGCCAACAAGTGCAAGTATTTTGTAATTGTTTTTAAGACATCACAAAACTCATGTTAAATGTCTCCATGAATACAACATTGCCGATATTTCAATGTGATAATTTCAACGATATATTTACGTTAAGGAAAATTTGCTAGATACCCTTGTACAGTAATTGATAAGCACAAATAAGAAAACTCATTAAATAATGATGTTATTATATAAGAAAAAATTCCCTATTTACTAACAACTTACTCAAACTTTATCAGCTTTTAGCTAGCGTTTCAGGGTCAGATTCTACCATTTACGTTTACCATTACCGAATCAGCGAATACTGACAGCGGCAATTTATTCGGCATTGTAAGATCATGATGAAATGGACGCCGCTGAAAACTACTACACAAAAAACATAATGAATTTTTGTGCACTCACCTCCAATATTAGGCTTTTCTGACATAGCTAATACGAAATCTTCGCGCTGCACGTGAACACTGGGACGGATCGCACAACATAATTCGGGAATAAATGGACATTACAAAAGACCAGAAGGGTACTTTGATATTCATGGATTCACAAACTAGATGCTAATTAAGTAAATTAACTCTGGCCAAGCTATTCTAAGTCGAATCAGCTGGCTTCATGTGATTGTGCATTCTGTTCAAGTATCGCTTTGGTCCATTCGGAGAGAAAGAAACCTCGGAATTTCTCGTTGCTCTGAGCTACTCTCCCAATACTCTCTCACGTACATTGATGACTTCTGTCAGCAAAAGATATTCATGCCTTAGTTTTGAAGTCGATCCGCCGACTGTCGATTAACAAGGCTAATTTCAGAAAACGCCGCACTTTCCTATAACATCAGATAAAGCTGGTTAAACTGAGGCGCTCCCTTAAATAGGGGTTCTCGTAAGTCAAATCCACATTGAAAAAATCTCCGCAAATGGAGGACGTACGAGAACTTGAACGAAACCGTCGTCTACTAAAACGTTAAGAAAAATCCAAACGAGAGTTATTTGATAAATAATAGACAATAATAATAAAAATAATAATATTTATCATAGTAACATTATAATGTTAATTCAAGACACAAACGAATAGAAAAGTTTTCGCCGGTCAAATGAATGGGTAGATACCACTAGTTATCTACAGTATGGATTTTGAGAGATGGAACTACAGTTTTGTTTTGCTTTTAAGCAGAGTATGAGAGACTGCGATTGTTCTATCCACTAAGAAACAACGATAACTATAATTTTATATGGCATTGGTTAGCCGGCTAACGACCATAATAGGCCTATTGCACATGTAATGATTAAAAGAGTGAAACAGTAGCGTAAGCGGTGTGGAGTCCAGCCTGAACAGTAAGGATTTGTTGTTGTCATATTGTGCAGGTGAGAGCAACAATCGGATACCAATGTTATGATTGTATGGTCAGAAGAGGCATGGTGTTGTAGAATCCTTTTGCTTGAATTTCTTGGGGCGACTCATTCGGTAGTGATGAGCAGATCTCTCTAAAAAGATCGTATATTATATTTAAACCCAGATCCAAACACTCTGCCACGCTTAACAACATATGGGCCCATAGACAAGTGTAAATTTTCATACTTCCTAAATAAGTATGAAAAAACCATTGAAATTTTATCATCTATGGAAATTATATAATCTGTAATTATGTCCTAATTAAGCCCAGCAACTAATTTAAATCCAGCTGAAGTGTCAGCTCTCCTGTAGGCTCCTATAGGTTCGAACGCGACAGGCTTCCTATTCATTAAGTCGAACAGTATGACACTTTACTAGTGCACTCATGTATTTGGATTGCACGTTCCTCAGTGGATTCAAACAAGAGAGGGTGATTGTTAGCTTGACTGGTCACATTGCTGTTACAATCTAGATGTTCCGCAAAAACCATCTATTGTCCTCGTTGTATATTTTCGTAGCGCTGTATCATTGAAAGGGACCTTCGATACTTCGAGGTCAAGTGTTTTTATAGTCATCGCAATTCATGGTCTAGGACATTGGGAACTGTGTGTGTCTTGTTCCGTTATTGTAATAGCAATTCGTTGTCATCAATTACAGCTCCCTCACATCGAGCTAATTGCATCATCAATCCTTTTGTTGTTATTATTTTACGTGTGTATTGGGTATACACAGATTGCACCAGAATAGAACTATAAATTGTTGCATGATGCTTTCATCACTCTATTATTAGTTGACCTTCAGTAGTTCGATCGCGTTTATTTTAATCGTTAGGCACAATCGAGTCCAGTCGTCCACGGGAGTCGCACTAGATAAGTCGCAAACATCGATGCAAGGGAAGAAACAGGGCAGGAGAATAAACAAGAGACTAACCCGAACCAGAGATTTTCTGTCTTTTTGGTTTTCCGTCACCTAACCGCGGGTAGCACTGATCCAGCGCCAGCAGAAGACTCATCAACCGCCCGTTCTACCTCCGTGGAACGTTGACAGAGTATAAGAAAAGCTCCCAATCCCTAGATCGTAGTAGGGTTTGAAAGTAGGTGTATATCACTTTTGTCGCTTGCGTCAGATTTGACGCTAGACCTTTTCTTCTAGTTTTTCTCTATTTGCGTATGAGATTACCGTTGATGGATCAACCTATTTTGGGTTCACCAGTTGCATCTCCAGCTGTTACATTATAGAATGAAACGGGTATGTTCGTTTAATGGTCGATGATTTGCTGTCGGGGGTCATTTACCGAGCCGAAATGAGAAAGGGAAATTTACTTACTGAATGAAAACTTTCATACAAACAAAGCGGAAGTGTTGTGCATTCAGATATGTTATTGTTTATACATCCAGGCAAACTGCAGCTGTAGAAAGCTCGCCGACATGTTTACATAACAACCTTTCGTATATTGAAGAGAAGATAGTTGTGGACAACAACACGGGGGTTCAGCATGGAACATCTGATGGTTATTGTCGACGGTTATTGTGTAAAGAAGACTACGTGTATGTAGATTGCGAAGTTGATGAATAATTTTTCATGTACCTTTCAATGACGAGCGTCACGCGAAATGTTTCGCGCTAACCTAAACCGTAAATATACAATATCGGAACCCAGGCGTCGTACAGAATGATTATGATTACGGTCACAAAACGTTTCGCTCGATTTACATTGGAGAGCAGTGTTAGCTTCGAATCTTCAAGAGTTGCACGCGAAAATTCATATACTGCTAACAGGTATCACAGAACATCTCGGCTAACATTTTAGAAGCTTTTGGTAACTAACTAAATAAATATTGTATAAAACTGTCAAAAAATGTATGTTAATCTTAACGAAATATTTACCATACCCAAATGGTGATGTCACCTTCTGTCTCTATAGCGTAATCGTTTTATATGCGTTCTTTCAAACTATACCATGAAAACATCGAATACTTTCAGTTCTAGTACTAACTTTATACCTCGTATTTTGCTTTTCAGCCCACTTATTACTATTAGCATAATCAGTTCAAACTACGATCAGTCTCTAACTTGTTTTTGACTTTCTTCAACAGGATCGATAAAAAGCTTATCTAGCTAAATGGATCATCTTCAGAAATGTAACAGATACATTACGCTAACGTCAAGTACATGTTTTTGTTTATGGCTAAATGCGCATATTAAACACTGTGAGCACGAGAGCTAGCCCGCTGCCACAGGAAAGTACTATTGATGATTAATAAACGCCTAAAATCTGGCGACTATCATAACGGCTTCTACGCCATTTGTACCAAACAGTAAGACGTAATAAGTTATCATGCGTTTTCTAACGAAACATATATTTCTGAAGAAAATCTTTCGTCTGTGATTATCTGATAGTATTTTGAATTTGCCCGGAGTCGTTTCTACCACCTGATCCTCACTTATAGGTAACTATAGTATCACATAAACTGTTTTCTTTTATCTACTTAAAATCATTCAGCAAGTACCTTTGTGCTCGCTAATTGAAATGCTCCAGATAGCATTACAGCAGCAATATGTGTGTACTAATAATGTTGCGTCCACACCCACAGTCTGGTCACTTTTGACACATGCGCGAAATACCTCAATATATTCTGATCTTTTGAAGCAAAGCCTAGTCTATATTACTGTATCAGCTGTGACACTGATGATAAAAACGTTTATTGTAATATCATAGAACGATTTTTTAAACATATATTGTATTGCTTCATTTTGCAGATAGTCGTTCGAGCAAGTAAAGTAACAACGATGTATGCTTACAACCGCACAGAGATCAGAAGCTACGAAAGTGTGTTATGCAAATATAAACAAATAATAAATACACAATTTTTATGTTTCCTCAGGAACCTTAAGAAGTAAAGATCGAAAGCGATATAATGTATCATGCTGAGCACCAAATGTTTACCGAAAGACAACTAACGTCTGTTGCAAAACACGTAACTATTTTTTCTTCCTCCGCGATGAATTTTTACACGACACCACAGATATACATATTTTGTTGTAGTTATCGAATAGTGTGATACGATAAACCACCAACGATATTTTCATTATTATAAGTGTATGAATCTGCATAAAATGTCTCGTGACTCGGCGCATCCATCAGGTTCGTTGGCAGTATTGGCATAGAATTTACCTAACATCATTGAAAGAATCGATGATGAAATTATTATTAATTCGTCATACCAATTTTCTGGTATGTTAACTCTTTCAGTTAGCTAATAGACTTACGCTTATAATAATTTAAATTCTACTATAACCACTAGACGAGATACACCCCGTCCAGCCTGTTTGGTTGAAATTTTCGAATGTAGTAAATTTTATACCAACGATATATACCTGCTTAAGTTAATATACACTATTTATTAACATCAAAGACAATTGTTTTTTAACGCAAGGTCAGTTACTACGTCAAACTCTATTCGATAGCAGCGCATACCCTTTTTAGGATTGTACTTTTATTATGACACTTCTATACGCCATCGGCATATCGCCCTTTAAGAGTTGTATTAACAAATATATCAAAATGTTTCTTAACTGGTAGTGAATTTCCTGTGTTATATATTCAAGTCCTTTCAATCCAACTTATTTAGATAAGGTTAACTATAACCTTTATTACTTTTAATTGAAGTTTGAAGTCTTAATTGAATATAATTTTAGAAAATTCCACTAATTGCATGCAAATATGTTTGTTCATTAAACGTACATTTTAAAACAGTTATAGGTGACGTTCGATGTTTTTCTAGGTTAACATAATTTCCATCAGCATCTTAACGAAGGTTTTTAGGGCTTAATTCTTGGTATTTTAGTATTTTTTATTGTGAAATATATAATCGGAATGTTATGACGAGCAGAGTGCTATAGATTAAGTAGGCGGTAATACGAGAAACGGTGGCCGGTTTAAACAAACGCCTTTTCCTTGCTCATTTTATTTAGAATAAACTAAATAATATTATTATTATTCCAACATTAATTACTGATCTGCAAATTTGTATTCCATACTGCACCTATGTATGGCTGCTGTCGTACGAGAAACATGAAATAGATTACTTGCAAGTTCTTTATCGTACTCTACACACAGCTAGCGTGGTGAAAATGTAAAACCACACTGGAGACTACGAAAAATATCTCTTATACCCACCAATATCAATGCATATATATGCATGACAGTAAGTGGCAATATAGTATATCCACGTTTATCTGGATCACAAGTATCGAAGTTGCATCGGTCTACCTATCTTCTTGAAATGTTCGTTTCTTTATTTAAATACACTTGCCGTATAATACATATTGAGGGCAGGGCTTGAACCAGCGGCCTGTGATACTCAGCCAAAGGTCGAACCGTCTAAACTACCGAGCTGATGGGCCTTTTTATAAATACGCAAACGCATTTTATTGTGCGCACATTGTATCCATGATACGTGTACACGATAAACCCGAACGTTGCGTATATCAATACTGGCCCATTAAAACCATAAGTCAGTTAAGTCACATTCGAATAAATGACAGAGTAGCCACTACATGCTATCGGATACGTTTCACGTATGTTTAATTCGACATGCACTACGTGCAGCAATTCCTCAACAAGCCGAATTCCAGCGTCGAATGGGTAGCACTTTCCTCTACGATTTATTTACGACGAAAATCGTCAGGGTCTTCGTGTCCGCAATCACTGCTTTTGCTTCCATCTACAGGCTTTTGTGGCTAACATTTGGAGTTATGAAAGTATGAGCTGTAACTTGCACTGGTGTCCTCTATTAGGCCTTCACTTGTTGTCACACTTTTTGCCCTCGCCCTCAAACGGCAGTGTTTACTTGGCTTGCGATCGATCACAAAGCAGTTAACGCATGCTTCTTCTGAACAAATAGACCAACTGATCAACAGAAGTCGTCATGTTTTTTCTCAGGCGTTTCAACCGTTACGACTCATCAAAGGAGGCGAACACTACCGAACTGCGTCATCTGAAAATCAATACAATGCTCAGGCTAATCCCTAGCTACTGACAACGCCATTTATCGTTGCTGATATCGATTCACGAACTTAACAAGATAATGCTGGCGTCACCTTAACTTTTTCCCAGTCATTCCTCTTATCATTGTAACCTGTTGATGCTCAGCGGCTAGTCGCTACAAATATAGTCGTAGCGTGCAGTCATATTGATGTCCGATAGCATACATTTAGATATCTAAGTTAATAATTATGAGTTTTACGGCGACAAGATATACGAAGGGCTTGGAACCACCCATCAGACTGTGCTCAGCGGAGGGAAATGCCAAAATGACAACTGCCAACAGAACTGTGCGACATGATATAATTTATATGATTATTTCTGGAATTATATTTCTACTGATATCACCTGTCTGCTAATGATAGCACAGGGTTTGAAAGTCACTTTATAACTGGAAAATAATTAGTATCCGTAGTTCAAGTATTATAACATGTTTAAATGAATTAAGTACACAGCTTCATATTCAGACAAATGCAGTACATAAATATTAATAGCTATTCATTAAATTTTTTCAGAATGCGTCCACAAATTTTGGCATGTTTTGTAAACAATACTTCAGTTTTGGAAGAGAAAAGAGGTTTATTTTGCTTAAAATGGAGCTGCAAGATCGTTGTCAATCTACATTACCTAATATGATTTGGGGCAGATATCGAAAGAAAGAACGGCGTGGCCTGAGCGATTAATACACATCTCTTTCAATACCTTGCCATGCTGATCATAATCATGTGACCATCGCTGCTCAAAGTTTCATGCTTGGCAAATGACATATTACTAACGTGCCGTTTCGTAGGTTCTTTGAAAAAACGTAAATGAGCGTCGCAAAACCCACACTGAATACCCCACACCGCACAGAAAGCATCATAACATACAGTGTTTCGTATTGAAGCCGACACTCCGCGACGTAAGCCTGGGTTGGGCTAAGAGTAAAAACTGAATTGGGTCTAGTTATCCCCTAAGCCTCCCACTGGATGACTCCCACAGTAATACTTCACAGTTTAAATCACACACAGAAAACAGCTGCAAATTAAAAAAAACTTAAGGAATATTTTCTTAATCTGCCAGTAGTAGGTTAAAAAAACTGTATGTCCGGAGTTGTAACATAAAACGCCAAGAGACTACAGCGAAGGTAATGAAACCGGATCATAGACCACCTATGATGAAAAATGGCAAGCGCCTTTTATGCACAGCTAATACCATTAGTTACTCTTATTGTAACTAATAGTTACAGAGTTACTCTTTGATTATTCTTATGCTTATTCTTACATATACCTTACGTACCCAAAAAAAGCCTAAAGTAGTATATATGTAAGATATTATTCCGAGGTAATTTAGTGAAAAGAAGAATAGGCAACGCCGATCTAGATATAATAACAAATTTTAAAGAAATTCATAGTTTACGTGAAGAGTTTAAAAAAATCCACCTACCAACGATCTAAATTAAGATATTAGCCCAACCTAATTAATGCTAACAACTGAACGAATGATAATGTCACATCCCATACATATCACGCGATTTGTATGAATATAAAAAAATAAAATATTATTAATGAAATTTTAGGAAGAAGTTCCTCGGTTTTCAGTTGATTTCTAAAATCGATGTTTGTTTATACGAACCCCAGAGAAACACTGTAGACGAGTTGCACTTAACTTGATTTTCCATATATTTTGCTCATTCGCCTTTTTATAAGCTGTTTAATCGCTAAAGTGGATGTACGTCTTCAGCCCTATAGTACCACTTAAAAAATTTTTTCGAAATTACCATAATCATTAGAGTGACTTGCTAAGACCTCTCTCATCATAGTGACGCTAGTTACATTAGCTCTCCAAATCAACTCTGTCAGTGACAAAATGGTTTAAATTGACATTAAAGCTGGGAACATTCTCCCTAGTATTTAAAATGGGTGGTTGTTGGGTCGACTTTAAGACACCTAAACCTTTTACCTCAATATCGCCGTCAGTATAATACGTAACTGGTTACCTAGAGTAAACAGTTTATTTTAATATGTATACATTCACTAGGAGCTCGATTTTTATTTTAAAGAGCTTACGAACCGGTTCAAACTTAGAACATATCGACTATACAGCCATAATCTATGCATCTCCAGCCTCATTTTGATCACGTTAAGATGCCTAGGTCTGGATCACAATGATTGAACTACGGCTCTTAGGACAAAAACCATCTCAAGAGAGAACTCTTACCAATATAATACAATAATAGTGTTATTCAAATTCAAAATTGCTGCGTCCATTCTAAAACACCGATTTGTTTGACGATATGTATCACATAGAATAAAACGAAGAAATTTAATTTGGCATGTGTTTGTACCTTCAATTCTGCCCCACCGGTCCGTTACTTTTCGTTCCGTCTTAAGACTCTATTGATCGCGCAAGTGCACTCTATGACAAACGCCAAAATAATTGAAAAAATAAAAATAATAATTTTCCAACGTCTTAGTTAGCCTTAACTTTAGTGCCAATATCCGAAAAAAAGGAAAGCAAAGCGAAACACCCAGTCCCCTTCCCCTAAACGATAGATTTCACAGCGACATCAGCGAATCTCTCAGTCCCAGGTCGCAATCGCTCTTGAAAAAATAGGTAATGAAAAAATATGCAATAATTGTAATATTAAGAGTAATGATAATAATAATAATTTTTGTAGGTAAGCATAGTATATATATATAGAATTAGTCTTAACTATTCTACAAGCAGCTGTTATGTTGGCAGATCAGAGCAGGCATCCAGTAATTCAGATGCTACAGTAATTACAATCTTCGTTCATTTTATGCACAATTAGCATCCCATAAAAGGACAATGGGCCGTTGCTTAATACTCTCCGCCGTAATGTACGCGCCGTTTATTCGTGCTTGTGTCTGCGAAAATCTTTATAAGAATGTGTGTAATTGTATTTGCGTTCATTCATAAACATCTTCTTTACCCAGCGTTATTAGAATGTTGTTGGGTAAGTCTGTCACGCGTTGATTTCTTGCTTTTCTTTTCTATTTTGCCTTTGCTGATAGTCCAATGTTACATGCCATTGAAAAACTTACTCTTTGTTTTACAAAGCTATTGTCGCAATTTTACCGTGAGTATGAAGTTCATGATATGACAACAACCCTGTAGAGCAAAAAACTTTCCATGGCATATAACTCGCAGATGAACAATTCCAAAAGATAAGCAATGAACAAAAAGGCGAAGAACCTAGTAAACAACCTAATATTACTATTTCTTGTAGTTTCTTGTGTCTCTTTTGTTTCGTCTTCCCCATGCTCGTCATGCGGCTATACAGGTGTGCCTAAGACAGAGTTACATCATTACCATTCTCAGAAATTTTCTATATGTATATAATATCTTTACGCATCTTTCGACTATCCTATCACTTACTTGAAGATATTGATCTATTACATCGATAGTATCTCAGCAGCCTTAGACTTTTCCCTTAACATATATAATAAATGGATGAAGATGATGAAATATTAGTTAGTCTTAGTTTTTTGCTTGTGCGCCGCACATCATCACATCCCGGCACTGATCGGTCTGGCAATCGCCAGCACTCCATCAAAAAGCAGCATTTCCAGTCTAGTGATCTTTCTTATCCGTAAAGACAATGATCACGAAGATAATTATGACGTTATGCTATTACAATTGATAGCTGCTGAGCGAATGCAGGTCTTGGCTACTCTTATCTCTGACGTAAGGATGACGGGTTTGTCGTTTTCGATTATCTTTTATGCAGTCGTTTATCTTCTACTTTATTTTGTTCCTTTTCCTTGCTTTACAACCAGGTGAAGATTAGTCTTCATATTAGATTGAAATCTATCTTGACTGCTGAACCGTTGCAGATTGCGCGCCGTGCTGGGGACTGGCCTGTTGTACAAACATCGTTTGGAAACGATTCTGAAGCCGCTTGGGAATACCTTCAGTGGCGCCATCCATGTCTAGTGAACGCTTTGTACCGCGTACAGCTGCCATTTCTTCCCCTCGACGTTGGACCATTTTGTTGATATCGACAAGATCCTAAAACACACAGCACAGAAAGGAGATGGAAATTCAAACACTAACTACAATTTTACACGATGCAGAGATGACGTTAGCAACAAATAAACTTGCTGTTATGAATTTCTAATATCCTGGACTTATTAAATACTGGAATCAGGCCTACAATAAGGGAAAAAAAGTGGAAGAACGAGGCTAACCGCAGCGTTCAAACATTTACTGACCTTTGCCGGACTTTGCTGAATACGGAACGTTTTTGCGTTAAACGTCGCCGGCATGTTATTGCCTTTGTATGAACTGACAAACACCTTCAGATCATTAGTGACCTGCAAAGGCTTTGGTGATCCGAGGCCGCCATGTGCCCGCGGTAGGGGACTAAGTAACGGGTTGCTTGTTCCCGCCAAACCGCCCGAGGTCTCGTTACTTCTGAAACTTAGCAAGAATGGTCGTACGCGAGGCACGAAGACACAGTTGTAAAATTTGATTATGTCTCCACGCTGGCCATCCTCAAACGATTGAGAGGTCCCTGCCATACCGCCAGGAGTCGGCGGTGGGGCAGTGCCACTCGTTGGCTGTCCAGCAACTTCTGTGACAACCGATGAAGGCGGAGATTCTCCCGATGTCGAAGACTGGGCTGGTGTAATGAGAACACTACGGTAAACATGACTCTGCGAGTTCGGCTGGCTCCTGCAAAAAAGCACAGGTGTATAGATATAGTAGTCAATGTTCGTTCTGGCGTCAGAACCTTACACTGATATAACGTCGATGACTGCAATAAGCTACGAGTAGCTACCTCACATTTATGTAAGCGACACAAAAATAGCCTGAATCTTAGGTAATATATAATAACATAAACATACTTATAACTCTGGGTGATGTCCAAAAACGTGTTTTCGATCCGGAATAATTTGCATAGCGCATATACGCAGCAGAGTATAACTTGGTCAAGGTGTCGATCTTTAAAGATCGACGTCTCGTGCACCATCACGTGTTCAAGCATCGTCCAGGCTTTGGCCAGATGCTCGTCGGGTATCTGAAGACTTGCGCATAGGTGGCGTAGTCGCACTGAAGCCAAGAAGTAAACTTTTCTGAAGAACAGACCCCAACTGCCTTTTACGGCCTCAACAGGTGTTCCAGCTGGTCCCGCAGGAGCAGCGGAAATCTCTATCGCGGGAATCATCTCCATAAACTGTCCCGGAGCAGTCATCATGAGACGAACTGGACCTGCACTCAAAAATCAGAGGAACAACTGAAAATTATAACTCGAGACAGCACCGTAAGCTAAAAAAACATTCCAATGATATGTTTCAATAACATATTAACGCTTGTAACCTAATCATATTATATAAGAATGTCAGAAGAAACTGATAAGTCAATGTGACAAAACACGGTAATCATTTGTTTTCCGTATTTTGACTCAAATCAGATACAGCATGCGGTAAATGAACATATTAGGTGCAATTTTAGTGGTACTTGATCCTTGTTGTTCAGTGTCGCGCAAGGAAGCACCTAGCGTGAACTGCAAAACCTCTGGTACTGAGTGGTTGGAGATGCGTGAACGTCTCTTTTACTACATCGTCTTCAAATGAACCATGTTTTAAAGATGCTCAATAATAATATGATGATAAATCATTTTGTATTACCACTTCCCATACCCTATCATGCACATTATTTTAAATCGTTTTGCCGAAATTGCACAAATCATGATAGCGTATTGTATATTTGCGGAAATCAGGTCCCTCGTAAGAATCACCGCATCGCGTTGTGCATATTGTTGTGTTACCGTTGGTACTGGAGTTATCGTTGGTCGTAGCTCCAAAAAGCTTTCGCCGGGCAACACTGGCCACTGTTGGTGAGGCCAGCTCCGCGCGATTAAGCAGACGGAATACCTCTGCAGAGTAGTAGGAATGGGGTGAAGTAGCAGTAGTAGCAGCAGCAGAAGTAAGTAGCGTCAGTTGTTGTTGTTGTTGTGTTGGTGTTTGTAGAACAGGGAAGCAATAACGACAAAACGGGATCAGCACAGGGCACAAAGACGATACGAACGCACAGACATAAAACAGATGAAAAAAACGACCAAAAAAGAATAATAACACGGAAAACAACCAAAATTGCGAATGGCAGGTGCTCCATCAGTGCGATTGCTTTATGCTTAAACATGAAGAGCCAAATAAAGATCGATAGAAGCAACCGCGGATCCAAAAATTAAAAAACAAACAACAGACAAGGCATGCATATATGCACAGAACACCGCAATTTACAAAGCGTTAACTCATATAGATTATATTGAAACAGACGACTATTTCTAGTCGAGGTTAAGACAGTTAAAACACATTTTTACGAGCATAGTAATTGTTCAAAAGTTTTTCATAACCGTTTTCGAAACAAGTGCTGGATCCGATGAGACCGTGGAAAGCAAGAATAGGATTTAATGTGCGCAAGCTGAAAGTATTGAAAAGCTATATTTGTTTTTTCCATACCTGTACGTTGGGGAGCGTTGGCTGCTTCCTGACAGTTAACCTGCAACTGACTCGGTAGTAGGACCTGTTGAGCCTGCGGAACCTGCTTCGATCCGAGTTGTTCCCAAACTGGCGAGTCAGAACGCCACGCGATACATTCCAAAATCTGTTCCTCGATCTGCATGTGTGTTTATAATAAGATATAAGATACGGCAATTTGGCTCGTTTTTTATTGTTAGGTCTCGTTTCATCAGAAACGAATATTTATCATGCCGATGAAAATCACAGTTGTTGCTATACGTAATGTATTAGAACTTGAAATTAGTAATGGAAGTTAAGGGGTGGCTACTTTAAGACTCGCCAACGATGCATGCTACGCAACCTGTGTGATTAAAGAAAATAATTTTCTTTTGTCGGTTAAGGATATGGATTTGAAGCTGAATTGGACTTTAATGCTCGTGCAAGAAATTTCTTTGCCTTTCATAATCTGCGGCATTATGAAGATTGCGAGACCTACCCTGTTAAAATGCTTAACCACATCCCGTGAAAGCTGCTGCTCGGAGCGAATCACTGGTTCTATGATGCGATAATAGTCGTAACCCTTGAGTCCAAACACGTTTAGTATCCAAGGAAAGAGCGTCTCTTTCGAGTTGTACGACAACATAACAATCTCTAGACAGCTGGCAAATAACGAGCGTTGAAATTGTTCTTGTCGCAGAGAAACACTAAAGTTATTTAACGGTTTGCTCGTTGTATTATGCTCCAATGTGAGAATGGCTTCGAGAATTTTGTAGAAGAGCGCTTCGCCTAACGCTAAACGTTTCTTCGCGAAATCGAATAAATCTGGATTAGCTGGTAGATCCCTGTCGTCGTCCTTAAATGACAAAATCGAAGAGCGCAATATATGCGGCATATGGGCTAAATATGCGTCTCAACAATACATTTATAATACTTACATCTGTTATCTAAGGTATCAAGCAGAGAAATAATAAAGGATTACTTGGCACCATTATAATTTCTTTCTATATTTGTCGATGCCATCACGTTTTCTTCAAATGCAGATTTCGCGCGTTTCGAAGTAATTGAATATAATATACTTATCAACTTTATAACCTTACTAATTAACGTACCGTTCCTATTTTCAAAGTATGTCTTTTAGTGTTATTAATAAAATACTGCATCGAAAACGCACAAGGCTACCTATCATATTCTAACTCACCCTTTGAGCCGCATACGCTTTACAAAATATTTCTCCCATTTCCTTGATTGTTTGATCGATTGTTTCGGCCGGATTCGGAACAATCTGCGCGAACATGTGACTGAGTGTCTCGGACGGCATGTGATTGCGTCCGATCAGTAGGCTATGAAGCTTCGATGCGCCTTGAGTGGCAGTCGACACGGGGCTGAGGTTAATAGCTGGTTCTCTATTTGTCAGAAGGCCGCGGCCAGTCAATGGTGTTTGGAGTCCTACGCCGGCACCAAGCGCACCTTGGCGTCTCATGTACTCGACCAGCGAGCGACAGAGGGTGTCATGAGCTTCCGACTCGGAAACAGGCTCCACACCGATTTGCTGACACGCATCCTCGGCGAGGAATACTTGTTCATCAAGCTCCCCCGCACGCAGCACGGACAGCTCGTATGACTGTTTTAAGGCTGTTCAGAGACGAATAAAACGTTAACGGATTTGTCAAAGTAAAGAGCTGACAAATACTCGTCCAGGAGTTATAAAGACCATAAGGCTTGATTAATTATTTGTCTTTACATAAGCACTGCCTTATATTCATTACTTAAACTCTTTATAAGCCTACTCACATTTGATGTTATGCTCGACATCTTTAAATTCGATTGAGAGACTGAGTGAAGACGTGCTTCCTTTCAAAGTTCCCATTTGTACAAGCTCTTTGATTGGCTTTTGCAAATAGTAAATTCGTAGTATGTTTGCGTCCGAAAACACTGCCTTGTGCGTCTCACACAATGATCGAAGCAAACCGACAACCTTCAGATCAGAACCGTCTGCGGTGCATTTTCCTAGTTGCTCTGCAATAGAAATAAAAGATACAGAATGCTCCTATTAGATAATCGCTCTTGCTCACTATAATCAATAAGAAGAATGTTCACGACCTATTCGAATCGATAGCATAAAATTCGTTTTACTTTAAGATTACCAGCTGCTGCAATTGAGAATTAGCTGTATAGTACCCACCCTGATAGAAGTCCTGATTAAGCAGGTCGGTCCTATCCGCATGCAGGCACGACACGTAGACAAAGTCAAGGCAACATAGAAGTAGGTGAAAACATGACACCGTTTCCGTGTTAATTCGGCTTTTCAGAGCGATGTACAATAACCAGCATAGTCTATAAAGATCTGAAATGTCAACCACCACAGGTTTGTTACAGTAATAAAACTGCATGGTAATAAATAAAATGAAATGCCTGGAGAAACGAACTTAATATTCTTTGTATCACTCTCTCCTTGCCAAATCAATATATTCAATATATCAATATTTTCATAATAATTACTTACTTATACATGAATTAGTCATTATTTTTCTAGATTCAATTGCAAGACATAATTCAGCTAGCCCAACTAGCAATGCTTTTGGGGTGAGTTAATGAACATCATGAGCACACTAAATAATAAATAAACGATAAATGTATCATTGCAAAATTTCTCTTCATGAAATACCATTGTGCTATTTTCTTCAAGTAACAGAGTCGTCAAGATTCGGTTTAGCAATCGTTCATTCTTGTACGTTTATAAAGACGTTGCAGCTAAAATCTTTCATATAGTAACAGTAGTTTATTTTTATTTCGGACAACAAGATCATCATGTTATAGGGAACAGTACACAACATAATTATGTTAATAAATCAATGCACCTATTATTTTTAGACATACCCATTACTGTGGTAGGCCCTCTATGTCGCTTTCCGCGGTTGGCCGCGCCACTTCGTTCGAGCTCCGGTGGCCCTTTGAATATCTGACCGAACACTTGATGAAACTTTGAAAAGACGATCGTGGTCACGTTGAACGACTCCCGTAATGAGCTTAATCGTCTCCGCATGTTGCTGTCTAGATTAACCATATCAGACCACTGCTCCATTTTGCGAAAGAACTCTAATAGGCTACAAGAAAGAGCGTATATGATTTTATTTGTTTATACCGAATACATAAGCGACCTACAATCCAACTGATATATAAGAGAAAGGAGCTGATGCCATGATACATTTCAAAATCAATTTGTCACTAAGTATTTGCGCATGTAAAACTAATTTAAGTCTGTGAACCGACTACTGCGAAACCAATACAAATAGTTCCTCATCCTCAATGATTATCCGAAATTGTCACCGTGAGCGGAAGTGAAATCACTCATTCTAAATTGTAAAAATTTCCAAATATATCAACGTCCACTCTAGGCTTTATTCAGGCGTGCACCCCTTCAAACTTGCACATAATCTTTTATATGATTTCCGTTTTTCTGTAGCTGCGCAGACATGCACTTAATACCAAACATCTCGTATTAACAAGGAGTTTGTAAAACTTACTCGAGTTCACAGGTTGATAGAAGTCCACGTAGGGAGACGCAGTTACCCTGCAAATTTGATGTAGCGCCCACGGTAGGCATCGAACCGAGACGGCATGCGACGTACAAACTACAAGCTAGCCAATGACGGCAATCGCCCTGTAACCAAAAATAGTAAACGTGTTTAACAGCATATAATTTATATAGAACTCTAAGGTCCCTTCTTTCTCACCCTCTAACTACACATACGGCATGCTCGTATTTTTTATACATATTTTTATCTTTATATATTTATATAAGTATTTTTGTATATTTTTACAGTAATGATTATTATTGTTATTACCGCTGTTATAACTAAAAAACCGTCTATGTAGATGCCACACCTTGAGCAACTGTATGTGAAAGAGACCTAAAGCTAGTATGTTCACGTTACACTAAATTAAGTTCACAGTATCACTCCATCATGCAATTACAGCAATAATAATTATATATCTTCGTGTACGATGAATGCATTACGGGCAATGAGCCTTCGGGAAAACTATGGAAACTGGAAGATTTCATTCTTTATAAACAGAACCGTTGTATTGTCACTTACCTTATAGTGTGCTGCATATTCAATTAAAAGGTGTATTTAAGACAAGTCTTTGCAAAAATTGCTCAATATTCATATTAGTACTCCGCCATACGCATAGCATCTGGCGGAGCCGAAGCAAAATAGTCTCAAGCGAAACAAAGTTATGACATTATGTGTCTCTCTATCACGAGCCATTCCTACTCGACCAATTTTATACTACACAAAACCTTCACACTAGATACCCAGGGAAAAAGTGGAGCCTAAGACATACTTAGGTACCCGACATTGCTATGAAAACATTACAGGAATGACTTCATTCCTATTTCCTATCGTGAGTACGAGGCATTCAAATAACAATAATGTCAACCGCCCCACCTACACTTCCGTAACAAACGCATCAACAACTCATAACAAAACAGCATTGTCACAACTATACTTATCTGCATAAAGACACACACAATAATAGGAATTTTTGTATGAAAATGGTTTTGCTGTTCAAAAACTACTAATCTGCCAATTTAGGGCAGATGTACCTGCTTTCAGCAACGACATATGACATGTTTTCACCCATCAATTTCATACATCTTTATCTGTGTCCTTTGTGAGATGTTGTCTGATCCTTGTCTGATCGAGTCTACTATACATGATTTAATTGAAGATTAAGTGAGCTTGACAAATAATGCACGTAAACACCAAAAAGTTGCTGCTGACCTCCTTATGGATCTCTATTGCATTTTTAACTAAAATTGTTGCAACGATACAGAAATATTTTCCGACTTTTTAATCATGGAGCATAATTATATGCAGTTTTCGAATGATTCTATGTCACCATGATGTATATCCCCATCGTAGAGCCTATATTATAGGTTTGTTAAAATGAAAGAAGTCAGTTAAAGAACTAACGTCTTGATCTTAAAAACTGATGAAACTTTCTAGTTTTTACTTTACAAGAATTTTACAAAAACTGTACTTCGCAGAAACAAGAATTTACCTCTTGTTAATAAAGATCGATCCCCGCTTGTTCATCTAAAATGGACTGCATGGAATAATAGTTTCGATCTATTTATTTGTGCCAAAGTTCCTTTGCGAAGCCTGCGAAGAATTTTTCGGCCAATTGATTAAATGATGTTACTTAAGGATAGGCATTTATTTGTCTTCTCCTCCTTCCACTTCGTGGTCGTAATCAAACCCCGTAAATCTAACTGGCAAGGTGAGCGACGCCCTACAGCAAGATGTGCATCACCATGTGCATATCAATAACGAAGCTAATTCAATTGAAAACATAAGGGATTCACAATAGATTATTATTTTTTTGATAAAAAAAATATTCAAAATATTACAGGTGTATACATCTGTAAATCAAAATGATTTCGCAGATCAATATCATTTAGCACACAAGTATCCTAATTTTCGATTACGCAAAACAACTCATCTTTAACTCAACTAGTCAGCATTTGTTGTTCATTAATGGTAGAGGTATTGACAATCGATAAGTAACAGCGCGTTGGCCATGGAAAATATAATAATGTACAATAAATGCAGACTTTGGTTTATTCGGACAACTGGCAAATAGTTTTTTGAATTAGTATTGACTATTACAATAAGCATGTAAACAGATTTCGTTCGATTTATTACTTATATTTTTGTTTATACGATAGTCATGAGTTAATTCATCAAAAAAACCTAGTCACAAATTTTTCCACAGTGTTGCCTTTATCCTAAAAAGGACTACCATTAATTCCACGTTTTTAGCTAAAACATAAATATGCACATGTACCCATTTTGGCCTATAGTATTATCTCAAATTATTTTCAATTCACGGAGTGTCGCAAAGTCCGACCTTATGACTCAGAGCGCGTGTGCGTATGAACATTCAAATTATAGATCTTTCCCTACGGGATTTAAAGGTCCAGGCGACCCCGAATCCGAACAGCTGCGGATTTGTGCCAAAGACATATGGGAGGCATAGACGAAGAGCGGCTGAAGTCGAAGTCGGGATCAGGGTCAAAGCCGGCGACGATAGCCCAACCTTAAGGCGAAGTGTCGCGCACAGAGCTTCGATCGTCCAGAGACACACGTACAGACTGACGCATGCATCAGCTGCCCGATGTCGATTACTCTCCCCATAGTTGGCGACGTCCTATTAAGACGCACACTTGATGTACCAGCATATTCGACATGATCACCCTCGCGTTGCATTCATCGCAACGTAAGATCTGCGAAATGCGCGGGAAATTAACGCGGGCGATGCGTACGCAAACGTAACTGTCTGTAGTCCTTTGGTTCTAGTAACATACCCGCAACCAGATAAAGATACACGAACAGAGATTAAGATGTAATTGATTTGCCTAATTGATTACCTCGAGTGTGTAATTCCTGCCGATTGCGTCGAAGGTCTGCAGCGCTTCCTGCGAACTCTGCCGGTCCATGTTGAGGGCCAGGCATACTGACTTGAGACGCTCCTGAATCGCTTGGTCCGCGTCGGATGAGACACCCATTGTCGCTACTATGAAATCGTGGCCGTCACCCGTCTAATGTCAGGCGCAATTACGCCAACACAAGTCAACATAAAAATCAAATAGAGCTAGGATTACCCAGATAGACAGTCTTCTGGTGTTAGCTGCTTATCTTGTCTGTACAGAAAGCACTGGTCGACACAAAGTAGAGTGTGTCTTGTACGGCAACTATGTCCACTTCCTTAGCACTATTCGGTGTTGCAGGACATCCCATCAATACAAAGCGACTCAGACAAAGACGGATTAGACCCAGTGATTCTAGCTGCGGATCGGTCGTTTGGTGTTTGCACAGTGTAACAACGTTAACCGTAATAATAACACTAAGATCCTCCCTATTAGGAGGACCTTCCTAGCGCATTCACTTGATGAGGCATAAGTACCATTACACTTTCACAATAACAAACATTTTATAGATGGTGAGATGCTCCGTTACAACGTATAGGAAAAACGGAATACACAGCGGGTGGATGTAATATGTGTGCACCCGGACAACACAGAGCCGCTGCACGATATAGGGGGCGTATTAAGCGGACTGCAGTACACAGTTTACACTACACACAGTACCTATGACAACGAGTTACGGTCGCTGGCGGCTCAAAAAACACTTGCGGGGCTACTGCTGTTGCTCGAAAGTAATAACAATTCTGGTCTCGGTCACCACAACCTCACCAGCCGCCTTTGTCTATGTGGTGGCCAGCAGGAGTCGGCGTTTGGCGCGAAAACAACCGGTTTACACGTGACGCAGCGACCTAGATCACGATCGAGGCGCGCATAGCGGAACGATACGCACCAGTCAAAACATTGTGGCGGGCTCCTAAGGAGCCCGCCTGAATAAATAGAGTGTGGAGCGAGTTGTTTAAATTGACGAATAATTCAAGGTTCGAATGAAAGTTAAGGACGACTGTCGTTATTTACTTTCATGACAATGTCCCATTTGGAGAGTGTGTAGATTTTTTGACGAAAAAAGTTCGAAATCGAATGGATTCCAAAAGCTTATATATCTCTACTACAAAATTTAAGCATCTTGTAAAACTAGGATTACCTATATACTATCAGTATTTGTGCTGGCTTCTGGTAACGTATAAAAAAATGAGATTTTCGCTGGCAGAGATAAAGTTTGTCTACTAGATAAAACGTAATATATTTATTGGCGCTCCGTGTTCTTGCGTACAGCTCAAGTACAATTCGAAAAGAGATTTATTATAGTAATGCTCCCAGTGCAAATCAATTTGAATGTATTTACGGATGTAAACATTATAAGAAAATAGCTTTTGAAGAGAGGCTTGAGCCGCCGGTCTAGGCTTCTAGATATCTAATTCTATAAAAATATATATACAATTTATATTTTTTAGGAAACAAGCAGGCTTTAAACGCCCTGCCATAATTTTAAGTTAAGAGGTATTTTTATTTACGAAGTATGTTATAGTTTTGGCCGCACTTTCATAAAGCGAAAAGTGTTACAAATACAATGTGAGGTAAAACACATATACATAACTTGATTAGGATTGGCTTACAGTAGAAAAAGGTAAACATATTGTTTAAGCAGCATTGGTTCTAAAATTAACAATAATTCTCTACCTGACTGGGAGCCTATAATTTGCCAGTTGCAGATCTATGTTTTAACTAATTGCAGGGTTTCTTTTGACTTACTACTTTTGTTAGAAGAAGCGCCTTTCGCTCTATTCGTTCCTATTTGAGCAGCCTTTTTTGCCATTTAACGGAATTCTATTCAAGCAGAGCTTTGCGCGACAGGTTCGAATCGAGTTACCTCTTCTGTTTACGGAGACAGTTTTAGAGCACTCACAAATTGTCAATGGCGATCTATAAAAAAGGAAACTGTGAAATGGTAACTATAAGTCATTCTGAGCGATTTATCTGGTTGTGACGAAACAAGTGATTTTTACACGGATCTTTGTAAAGAGTTTGACAGACATTATGGCATTGCAAAAAATCTTATCATAATTATCTTCTACTGTTTAATGAGCTAATAATAATAGTTACGAAAATTCATGTCCGACACGCGCCGATAGCTTTGAAGCGTTGTTGCGGACATCAACACTTTAGAAGCATATTCTTTGGGAACTGCTTTCCTTGCCAGATTGAATTTGGAAACATCTTCTAGAAAATACTATGAAACTCATACTCGGTTGTAACCTTGGTGTCAGACGCGCAAACTTTGTTTAACTGATTTTTCTCTAAGTGAGGCTTCCACGTCTATTATTAGTTGTATATATAGGCCACATGGCACCTCTTGACCTAAAACTCTATTAATCAGAATAACAATCGGCGAAAGTGCATACCTCCTACATATGTTAGGTGAAAAAAAAACAGTTTTAGGCTGATATCTTACTTATATGGCTTAGCGAATGTCGCCCGCGTGCCGGCTAGTTCCGCTTACAGTAGTTCCATTTACGTACAAATGGAATATCTGTATGGAAAAATATACGAAGCACTATTTGCCCAACTAATCGAATTTTGTTTTCTTGTAACCTACCATCTCTCTTAAAGTGATTATTTACTTGTTTCTTTCTTTTAACTTCTTTCGTTTAATTTTGTCGGCCACAAACACAACGGTCGATTTCAACTGTTTATCGTGCAGGTGTTCCAATGAACGAGCTTTCCTGTTCTAATCATCATATTTTGTCGACTTTGGATACGTTCAGACTAAGCATTACGGCCTCTAAACTAGTTTGACGCATCCATGGGAATGTTAGATTAGTGGTAGATGCACAGTCCATCCGCGAAGGGCATGTTTGGCATCCAACAGAATGGCAAATAAGTGTGACGTATAACTTGCAGAAATCTTTTCATATGTGGCATCACTTAATTTTGGTAGGAACCACCATCCATCCACCCAGCACCATTAGCTGTACTCTCAAGAGCTCAACTACCATCTGAATTGACTTTCCATGCAGCGCTAGTCAAATAGGGACACGAGCGGTAAGACTGAGATCAAAACAAGGAACAAATTTTCTATAATACATCTTGCTATATATCTAGGGGCACACAGGTCTATGTCTGGTGAAGCGAAGGCGTAATGAAGGCAAAAAAAGTATAGTTTACAGGCGCTCAATAAAGCAAGCTTATTAGGCAGTATCTAATAAATATCAGAGACATTTGGACCGTTTCTACAAATATACTAAAGAAATACATATACTATAGATATAGAACACTTTAGTATGTTTTACAATGATCTTTCAGTTGAATATTAAAGTGAATTTTCACTTATAATTTTACTAAAAAATGTTACTGTTAAAAATAAACTTATTCCGTTAACTTTTAGAATATGATTTAGCAGGGCTTGAACGAACAGTGGTGAACAGCGTAAATTTGAAACCCGCTAAAGGAATTTTCCGGTCGATTTTGTCCGCTTCCTAAGTCGACTACACGGTATTGCGACCTACTGATCAACCATCGTACAAACGATAAAGCGAACTTAACCTAGGGAGCACCGTTTGAGCACAACTCACTGCGCTGATACTGTTAGTTTACTTGGAGAAATGCTTTCTGAAGTTTGTCAGATCTGATGTCCTCGACAGAGATGAAGTCTTAAAGTTTTCAAAATCGACAGTCTGGTTGTATCAAAGGTAACGAAACTGTGTGTTGCATTTGATTAGTTCCTGATAGCATCCAGTCATAAAATGATTTACTCTTCATATTTGATACTGAACAAAAAAGTAACTACAGGTTGATGTCTTGTGTATCTGACACATTCATGATGAATGAAAAAACCTGACACTCTCCTGACGAAAGATCTCTTATTTGAGTAAAATTATTTTTCTATCACGATCTATTTTGTTTCAACTTATATTTTATTGTTTCCAATATACATATATATGTATGTCTTTCACTAGCTGCAGATAACTTCTATGTAAATGATATATATTTGCGCTCTTGTTTGATGCTTCTTGGTGACCTTTACTGCTGTATTTTTAACTATCCGTATTTATAACACGATAACCTCCATTGAAAGCTCAACATATAGTTTTTCATATATACTTCCACAAGACGCTACTGCCAAGGTTCTAGAGTTAAAAATGGTCTAAAATAAAAACTGTCTCTAGATATACGAAAAAACGAAGCTACTATGGAATATGAAAGTACTATACAAGATCTTCCTACGCTGCAGTCAGATCTCGAGAACGCCTTGTTTTATAATTGTGCGTCAATGGCAACTGCTAGGTCGAATGATGACAGAAACCGTATTCTCAACCGTATGATTCCTCTGACGTTAGCTGCCGCTTGTTGCAAAAAGCTCGACGAAATCCGAACGATGAAGAATCGCCTAATAAATCAAATCGCTGCAGGTGTTAGGGGAACTATGTCGATGTATGATGACGCTCAAGTTCTGTTGGCATTAAATCGCACGATGACAGACTTTGCCATCGGTATAAAAAGTGTTGAAGTTCGTTGCCAGGAGTCACTTTTACCAGGCGAGTATATTTTAACACTGCGGCATGCCTCAACATCCCTGAAGTGTATAGGCAGTATCCTTAACAACATGGTCCAATCGTGGATCTGTGATAAAAGATCGATGCCGATAAATCCGCTTTCTGACGTCGAAGTTACGTTAGAACCATTTCCTAGAGTAGGAGGTGACGGTTATCATGAAGCCAAATCCCCTAAATTTTGCTATCCGGTTCGCGTTCTTTTTGAAGAACCGACAATATTCGAGTGCAATCCGGTGACAATACGCTTGGAAAGTAGCTGGAAATTCAAATGTGTGCCGCCTCCCGTGAAGCCGGAAGCGCAAGAGGTCATCGACCGATTTGAACGTGTTTTTGAGCCAAAGCTATGTTAGGCAATTATTATCTGAAGGGCCAGAAGCCAGGTGGGCTTATCTGGACTACCGCAACGCGTATTTCATCTCATTGTTGGTAATCAAAAAATCGCTAGTCTGTAATTGGTTTTCCGTAAATCTGTAAGTTCAATCAATCGATACGAAGAACCACGTAAGGACCGAGAAAGTTAAAAATAGAGATATTGTATATCAGTGTGTCAAAATACAGGGTATCTCAAACGCGATGTTATCGCCACATAATGACACTGCATTCAGTGATAGAGAAAGCAGGCAGCCGGGCTTGCTGCGGTAACCAGTTACCATCTACATTTGGTCTATTGAAAGCAATATGCATTAAATCGCGGCATCTCCTTAACAGATGCGCACGTCCAAGGTAAATAGCTCTACGTTCTAAGAAAATGACATCCGTACACAGTGAGGATCGTATATAAAATACAATTAAAAAATAATGAAAGAAATCTACAACAGGACAGGGAAAATGTGACATCCACATTTTGCCAGCGTAACTATTTTAACAGGCGTTGTTTGAAGCTTTGGCTTGAAGTTTCTGGAACCATTTGATGTCTCAACATTAATCATATTTAATTGATAACGATTTTCCTTATTAGAGAAACCTTGTCTTATCGATAACGCAGTTTTTCTCTCTCGGGAAATTAAAAAAAAAACAATGTCACGTCCAGAATCAGCTGCCAGTAAAAAAAAATTTTGTCTAAAAAAAAAGTTTAGCTCGATTAGCTATTTTGCAACTATCGACATACTGTTCCGGTTAGCTGATCATGAGTTAGGTAAATGACGGATAAAAAATAGAAGTCATGTTTTCAGCCATTTTTCGTAGGAAATAGTTGTCGACAAGAGAGATCAAGCAGTTGAGTGTAACGACTCAGATGAGGACCAAGATGTACATAATTCTAATATTTGTATGCTATTTTGATATCACTCATTTTTCCGGACCACAAACACAAAGATCGTTCGACAAGGTTTGTTTGACATTTGCTTAAACGTGGATAAAGATTCGGATGATTCGCTAATACTGGAGACTGGCACAAACTAATATCAGCAATGTCCACGATTCGCGGAAATATGGGCCAATGTGGCATCATTGTGCATACTGGAAATCAAATTTGATGTTCGTAAATTATTCTTCCAAAGCCTTCAACCAGTGTGACATATTTGCTATTTCGGTATTCTTGTAAATGAAGTAACGTCAATGTGTAAAATGAATAACTTATAAATTTCATGAGAAGCCTCGAATTTAAACGTAGGCTTCGCATTTCTCAATCTAATGTTATATCCTAGACAAATATTCTTGTTACTAAATAAACCGATATCTATATCAGTGCACATCAGAAGTAAGTCTTCGACAATAACCACCAATAACATTGATGTACAGGTTTTACTGCAAACCATGATGCACACGATGCAGGCCAAATAAATCTTGTCTTCCCGATAACTGTACTCCGGATTTGCCGCTGTCGCCGCTGCTACTGCTGCTGTAAGGACTGAAAGCGTCAATGGTAAAGACATTTTCTCAGAGGCCACAGCCACAACAATCCTTGTCCGTTGATCGAGATACAAGCAATATTTAGGTTTTTTGTACACTTTTCAGTTGTCGGAACCAGGTTCCGACAAATCGTTAGAAGTTGAAGACGTAATAGAACTTCCAATAATTAGATAGAGATAATTAGACACTGCAATATCAACTCTTTTAGGTTTGAGCATAAAGCTTTTAAAATTTCTAGTACATCCGTTTTTCTTTATTGGTAGTTCAAAGAAATCAGTTAACATAATTTTTTCGCCAAAGAACAAGGTTTTAATCGAATATGAACTCTTCGAATTTTTGAAAAAACATTTAGTAGTAAAGGAATATAGGATATCTAGTCGAATATAAATAGATAGTAGACCGAATAAGAGAAATAAAGCAGTGATGTAACCGTAAACTTGTCTTAAATTATTTTTACTTTCCATGAAACTGTTTTAAATATTATCGTCCAAATTGGTCCAATCGTAGGTTATATGTAGATAATCTAGGTCAATATAAGTAGCATCGATACTATTCGTATTTACTTCCAAGACTGTAGAAAACGCGAACTACCCATTGAGGCAGTAGCAGGGACAAGTTGCATGGACCCATAACAACAACAACAAAAGAAAACAGAATGAGCGCATTTACCGCTTGAAGCAGATAGACTGTATACAAAGTAAAAATGTCCCACGTTATAAGTGCGCGTTCCAGTGTCTAATGGCGTTTCCGTACTCGAAGGTAATTTCTAGCTATCATAGTTGACATGTTGCTTGCAGCTGTTAAACAGGCGTATCATGTCGTAACCTAACGACACAATTCAAACAAATTGGTAGGAAGTGTTTCGTAGAGTAGAGTTCGATATGCCGACGGTGGAGTGTCTGATACATCAACTGTTCCTCACTCAATCATAGCCATCGTCAGAAACTCATAACGGTTAGACCAGCAGTTAAAATACTAGTATGTAATTAAACATGAAATTCGGGATACTTGGGCGGACTCCGGCAAGTTTGAGAGCTCGCAAATACGATAAGTGGATGGCATTTGCATAACCGCAAAGCAGCCCGAGCTGATAGTAGACAGTAATGAAAAACCACGTTTATGGTCAGGTGAATCAATACCCTTAGTGATCTATGATGAGGCTATGACACTGCCAAATTTCATGGAAACATCAAATATGTTCATGATAGGAGGTCTGCTGAATTCTACATCATATTTCGGTGTCATATAGTTGCTGTATGCAGGAGATAACTAGTTGATTAGTATATAAGGAGGTTAAGTGCGAGAATTTCATAACTGCTACCTATATCGTCACTAAGTTTCTTCCTCTATCGCAAGCCAATTCGATTACTAACGACAGAATCAGCAACACGTGGTAATAACACGTTTTGTCATGAAGTTAGTTCATCGTTTCTTGACAGAATTTCGACGTCACTTTCTCATAGGCAATAGGTACATTGCTTGTAAATGATAGATACTAGATTATCCTAGGAGTCAGGATGCCTGTAGTTACACGGTATATAACGGTTCAACATTACTTTATTCGGTATCAAATGCATTTACACATTGTTTACATTGATATAGGGAAAACTGTGTACACGAATAAATACGTAGATTAGATGATTAACAGCATTTCATCCAGCGATGAAATGATCAAAGGAGTGGTCAGAACACTATAACACATCATGGATACGGCAGACGAGCGCTGTTTATGTTCTGCGCGATCCGAGGTTCGAGTTGCTCACAACGATTGAGACGGTCGCCATCAGTGACAACATTTGATAGTATCAGGCAATCCTGGCCTCAACAATATTTTTAACAGTAGGGAAAGTGAACGTTGACCAATGGCTAGAGTGGGGCTAAGACATTGTTCCAATAGCAGTGGATGAGACAAGATTTCTCTTAATGGATAATATACTGAGATATAATGTCAGAAACGGCGTTATTTAACCGTATGAGGCCTTGTTTTTCTGGCGAGATCCCTTTGAACCTTCACTGGGCCTCGAGCCAGTTCCTGAATAGTAACCAGTATCTGTGTGGTGGCTATAACCTTCAAAATCGGAGATATCGTTCCCAAAGCTTCCAGAGCCATCACCGGCTGTGCCACTAAGTGGTGCACCTCCGTAATCCGCTGGTGAAGGCTGGCTATAGTCCTGCTGGGACGAGTATTCACTAGAGGACTGGCTGGAGTACCCTGACGACTGGAATTCACTTTGGCCTTTTGAGTAACCTGCCTGCCCGTCGTGGTCCACATATCTTTGACTGTTGTCTTTCAAATAACTTTGCATGTCCGAATAACTGTCATGTTTGCCTTGGTTATATCCGCCATGACCTCCCGCCTGGTTGATGGAGAGATGATGAAACAGATTATGTATATCTCATCGACAATTTGGATACTCTTAAGCATGTGCTCATTGTAAATAATCATCTGCTTGAATAAAACGGGCACGGAATTATTACACATAATAATATCATTTGTTAAATATATACTTTTCAATATATCGCAACAAAAGGGGGGAAAATAATACTTCATTGAAGTTTACGACTGGTTCATGTGCTGGTCCAATTAAACGCGCAGGGCCACGTATGTTATATCACGATAACACTCTACTTTTATTTTTCTGATACGACTGGAGTAACGAACGGTTTCCGTTGTTGAGAGTTCCTAACCGAGTGGCTGCGCGAAGCGTTTAAAATAGCATAGTATTTCTATGAGAAACATAAATAGGTACCTGTTTGCCGGAGTGGCTATTAAAGTCCTGGGTGTCTCCATAATGACCCCTGTGATGACCCGGTTCAGAGGTGTCAACAAGTCCTGAGTTTTCACCTGTTTGATGGTGACCGCCTTGCTGAGGGGATTGTGGGCGCTGGTCAAAACGGTTGTTCGGTCCAGCAGAGCCAAACTGTTTGGACGCCTCCTCCCCTGTGGGCGCGGTAGATTGAATTGTGACATCAGCGGGATTTTTAGATTCGGTACCCTGCTCGTTGGTAACAATCTCAGCACGGAAACCATTTTCATCTGCAATATACTTCACAACACGCATACGTCCGTCAGCCATCATTATCGAGTACTGCCCGGTTACGCGATTCTTCGAATCGGCTTGTTGTTGATGTAAATGGCTGCCTTCAGCGTCGTGTGCGCTGTACGAAAAAGCGTATGGTCTCCACTCTTCGGCCACATCATAGTTCTCGCCTCCACCCACTTCGTCGCCATGATGTTGTTCATAATCCCCATGTCCATGGAGGGCGCCAGGTCCAGCACCTCTGGAATCGCTTCCGTCACGTGGACTAGCACCACCGGTGTTTCCTATACCGCCGAAAGATGGTTCACCTCGCTCATGATGTGCATCTGAAGGCTTCGAAGGCCCGCTACCATAGCTTCCTGAAACAAAATTGCCGTCGTCCTCGTAGTCTTCCGAGCCACCAGGTTGAGGGTAAGCAGCGTATGTCGCCATAGGCAATAACGGAATCAAGAGGAACACCCGCTGTAGTTGAGATTGGATGAATAAATGCAATAAAACAAAACTTTGTTAGCTGGTGATGGATTATATATATATATATATATATATATATATATATATGTAATACAAATAACACAGAGATGAAAATCTAATATCATATGTAGAATCAGGATCTCTCAATCTGCCTAACACATTTGCATTTAGTATAATTGAAGCGATGATGTAAAAGTAAAATCTGTACGCAATCCTAACATGCTTGTTCTGTCTAATGGTAATCACAGAGACGTCAATCTGACAAGCAAAAGGCTTCTCTCTAGCAGGCAAACGACTTTTAGCTTGTTTGAGCGAATCATACGGCAGATCTCGCGCTCTCGGCGAAACGCGATTAGTGAAACCCCGTATTAGCAGATTAGGCTCTACGAAAACATTTTGTTGTCATGTCTTCTATAGAGAAAAGCAATAAAGAGAAATTGACGTGACGAGCACACTTTCAGGAACGAGGTTGCAACAGTTATCAAGCTCCAAGGAAAATTGAAAACAAGAGGAATTGGTTTTAACACCATGTACTTTCACCTAAATAGACAATAATATAAGAATTAGAAGAGTCCACATTAAGGTAGCAAGTTCCTTCACATGAAGCGTAGGTGGAAACGATGTAATGGAAAGGTTGTTTACTCAATGCTTTGTTCGGCCTCGGTTTTTAGATACTCCATTGAACACACATTCTCTGTTGTACACTTGGTAAAAAGTGGGTTTGTTTCAAATTTTATCCGATGTCAAGCGTAAGTTTAAGCGGAACTATATAACGCTGTACTGATTTGTACGGGAGTGCATAATTATCCATCGGTCACTATGCCATCAACAAGGGGACAGGGTTAGCTGTACAAATCACGAAATTCACGGCATTTCAAAGATACGCATGAACCTATCGATACCACACGTTCCCCTGACTCGACACTATGACATCGTAACGTTTGCGGCAACGTCCTTTGCTACTCCGGCATAAGTGCACGCATTTAGCAATACGGTTTATCCAGTTGGAATCGGTTGAATCCGAACGGGATCGAGTCAAAGAAGATTCGACTCTACCATCTTTGGCAGTACGGGAGGATTATCCAGAAACAATCAGCCGATGACGAAATTCAAGGCGCAGTTCTTCTTAACTTGAAGACTTTAAACTTCAATCGAATCGTCTACTCAAAACGATGTCCTTTGTGTTTACGCCGATAACGTGTGTTAGTATCGCTTCTAACGCTGTTCGGACTCTGAGTTCTCAGTCCCTGCACGTGCAACTTATACCGTACCGCATGGTAAAATTGCCCTTGCCAAAAACGGAAAGAGCGCCCTTTCCTCATCTTCTAACTTTACATTTGACCTCTGTGAAGGTAACGGCAAACAGCGAAGGGCTACAATAGCAGCATGCGCCAAACGAAGCTAAAGTTACATTGTACTGAAGTTCTTCACGCCAAATGCATGGACGTGTACATCTCCGCGGGGGTAAAGACACACCAGCATATTTCGTTGTTATAACATCGTCCCAAGCAGACGCAATACCGATTGAACATCATCTTTACAGTTGGGTTGGCACTGGCAAGCGCGCGACCAGATCGATGTGACCGGTACCAGTTAATCTGATGCTGCTACTAATGGATCGTCGATACATCATAATAGCACACGATAACGACAACGACGAACACAAATGGACTAGTTCAACTGCGAATCAAATGACCACAAGCCATTAAGGAAACTTAAAGGTAAACGAACTTACTTATGTCGGTCGAGTTTCCCGCCGGCCGCCACTGCGGTAGAAGAGTGACGGCTGCCGAATTTTGCTGCCCAATTGTTATCATAATTAGAACCCTATTGTCGATCGGTTAAAATCTTCCCTCTACGGGTGACGGTGTAAATCTCAATGATATACTGCGAGGATCAATAAAAGGGTAGCGAAGCTGCGCCGATGTGTCTGGCGGGTGTTTCGATGACCGACTGGTGAAATAGCCGGACATTTCGCGTTTGATAACGTACGCGGGTTCGATTTTTTTTTTTTCTATAATATACGGTTTTGTCGTAACTGAGTAGTTGAGAGGTTTCTTTAAAGTATTTGTTCTTTTTCCGTTTAAAGCGATTATTACAGTTACAGACTGATTCGATTCGGTTGGCTATCTATCTCTCTCTATATAAAAAATGGACGCAACTAAAGTGAGGGACAGATCTGCGTGCGATTGCATGACGGTGTGCTTGTATGCATGCAATCGATCATTGAATTTGGTTTTGGCAAATAACTATTAAAAGGATGAACTTATTTTTATCGAGCGTTATCACCTATGCACATGTTTTGTACATCACCAGCGGTCTTGTACGAACCGAAAACATAATTACACTGTACATTACAGCGGAACCCTATAGCTATTCTAATAATTTCCATAGGCTCGACGGCTATCATTTGTTTGCTTTACCCAAGATGTTGGTAGAGGCTGTCATAATAACAAAGGGCGTCAGAGACGCATGGTAAATGTTTCGTGTGTCAGTTATTATTTGGACTCATCTATCCAGCTTTTTGTTTCTGCCTAGGTTCAGCCATGAACCACTGAAGTTATATTGCCTAATCGCAGGATCCCTGTCCCTTATGTGCGGGTGATTTTAAGTAAAAAGGCCCCTATTAATTAGATGAGCGCCTCAACTATTATCATTATTAATTGTGTAAATTTAAACATTTTTATATATTCTATGCTTTCTGTGTCTAAGTTAGAGTTTTACAAATGCAATCCTTGATGTGGCGTATCTTTGAACCGGGACAGACAGCGGAACCTGCCTACACGTACTAATCAAACGACTTCAAAGATATTAATATCGGTGTTCTATAAATCCTTCGTTACCTAGAAAGGGAGTATAAGAAAAAAAATTCAACAGGAGATTTCTACCACGGGTGCCCGTCGCAGTTATAACGAAAATTGTCATAGAACTGTTCTTTATAGCTTTAGGATGTTCACGGCGAGAGTAGCCGTCATTATCGCAAGAGATATGAGAGAGAAGGTGTTCGCTTTACTGATAAGAGGCTTAGAATAAGCAAGATATTTTGGATCAGATCTGCGTAACATTACTATTGACAATATATAATGGTCTAACGTACGAACATGTATACGTTTAAGTTTTGCTACTAGTTCCTTTTTGTTTGCGACCGCTAAAAAACAAAAGAATTTAATTTCTGCGTATTAGATAGTTTTGCAGCGAACCTTTAGAACGACGGTGAACACCAGACAACAATCAACAATGGCCTATGGCATGGACAGTGGACTCGTGTACAATATTCTTCTATCGCATTTGTCCGTCAATTCAAACTATATGATAAATTTGGGTGTTTATGACCTCTTCAGTCACCTCTGGTCGTATGCGAAGTTTACCGCCTTTGAGTGCCATTACTTGTAAGATACTAATAATGTATCTCCTAAGTATGTGGTGATTGGAGACATATAAAAAAATATCCTAAAAAACAATTAATTCCGAAAAGATCTCAGCATATTCAGTACAGGTAGAAATATTCGCTCAGTCATTTTAACTTTGATAAAGCTTCATTCTTGCGGGCTTATGAAGGTAAAAATCTAACCAAATGAGCCTCAATTAGTTTTTACCTACCTAAACTATATGACCAACCAAATGATTATGTAACTTCACCCATGAATTGTGAGTATTAATTAATTATGCAACGAATAGATGCGTTACTATTCAGGACAGATGTATATGTGTATTCCAGATTGCACAATGCAGAACAGTGTCTACATACTTTACATCTCTTGAAAATACCAACATAATTTGTTCTTTAAAAGAAAAGTCGGCGTCAAATACCCATATGGTCATCGAATTTTCAGCCGGCACTATACACGTTGCACCAGTGGTTTGCCGCTTCTACTGAAGCATCGCTAAGATTTGCGACTTTGTCATAGTGAAGTCTACTAATTAAGTGCTTTTCGCAGTACATATATCTGACCCTGCGTATGGCGTGCATAGTATACATGGAAGGCTAAACCGCCGTCGAATCCTTGATCTCGAACAAATGATTTAAACTTCGTAGGCTTATTCGTGATCCACATTTCCATCTGCAATATACGGCAGACACCCTTAAGGCTTTTCATGGCCACAGAAGTTATATTTATTACGTTATATTATATAGTCAAATCGGACAATTTTTTCTAACGTCCAACATTAATTACGCATTTTTTTTTATCTTTCTGCAGCTAAGCGACTGGTGGTAACAGTCACTTCCCAGCAAGCGGGTTCGTTCCTCCACTTACCGAGTTCTTCTTTAACTGCGAAACAGTGTTACAGATAGTTGAAAAAATGCATTCGTCTGGGTAAGTTACACTCCACACTGGTCATCTTTGAGTTATCATGTGACTAAAGTTACCTGTAATCGGCAACTCATACATAGATGAATAGAGCAGCGAAGCAAGATTCGAATTAGTATTGATTTTCTGAAGTACCGTGTTGGATTTCCTATGGTAATATGCTCATACATACATTTCAAGCTTTAATGCTATCTGTATAACTTCTTGCAGCTGTGAACCCCTATCTGTAATTGCATTTCTAACTGTCGTTGCTTGTTTGCATTGTCGATGCCATTGTGTCCCGCTGGGGTGCCAAGTGACAGTACTAAAGTTGACTGTAATTCGTTTGCGGATGGCTGTCGTCGAAGTCCCAAAGGCGGCGGTACCATTGACTGTGGTGGAGCAGCGAAGGTCGACTCGCTTCAGCAAATGATGTTCCCCCTATTATGTTGGGGTGAGATTCTGAATTTTGTTCTTCTTGTTTTTGTACTAGCAGCGGCGGCGACTCTTCCGCTAGATGGTATGCATCTGAAATGATAGCCGATGCATAGCTCCCTGGCTTGGGGAAACGAGCCCAGAAAATCAGTGGCGATGGCAGAGTTCTTGCCTTCCCTTTGCTTCACTGCCAGAGTTAGTGAATAAACTAGTTCTCTGTATGACTTATGTCACTTGAAGCTTCCACTGGGAATTCTAGTTGTGTGTCGCATAGTCAACCATGGGAACAGGCCATGGCAATAACCATTGTTATAATAACTATCGAAGCATGATCGAGCAATCGAAAGCACCCTTTGTCGGTAATGTATACGCGTATAAGGAAAGATAGACGACAATGTTTTGCTTAAGCTCAGAGCATTGACGCTTCTCTCAGCATCTGACGTAAATGGATTCAAGCTTGGTGAAGTAAGGTTTCATTGCATTTTATAGAATAGCGACTTTTATGGTCAGGCACTAGTCAGTTGAATAAATGAAGATCAAACACAAATATATAACTTTCTTTATTCGCGTAAGTTCTATAATATGTGTTGTTAGCCAGACTTGAAACAGCTTCTTCTGGGCACTTTTAATCAAAAGCCTGGCCATTGAAGACATCGGATCTATCCACTGTAAACACCAAAGTAGAGATTAACCAGTAGGCTCATTAATACAATAGGTATATTCTAGATTTTGTGTAATTTCCTTCTAATCGACTACGGCAAAACACATTCGTCATGTTCCAACGAGGTGTTCATTATTATGCTGGATACGCCTACTGCTCCCTAGTCACGGACGTTATGAGTGCGTTGACTACTGCCATGACGAGAGTCATCGTTAATTTTTTTGCGGGTAGTTTTTTAAGCTTAATATTTATTGGCCTGTGTCGGTCCGACACCTTACTTTGGTTCCGTCGCCCCACAAGTTCCACGATCGCTTCATTGCAGCACGCGCGTACTGTGATAAACTCGCAATTCATATATACTAATATCTGATCAGGCTGGTATACGCTTAGGCATCAAACGCGTAGGTGAATGAGTCTGAGAAGTATTATGAGAGCTCGTTATAGCCTTGTCAAAAGGGTTTCCATACCCCCTAGGTACTCGGGGCTTTGTAAATAGGAGAACGTTGTTCCCAGAAAAACTTCACTTTCAGTATTCACCCCCTGGCTATACACACACGGAGTATAATTTTTACAAGGTCAAATATGGATACTCCGAGAAATTGTCACTTTTGAACGAGATTCAGCAAGGTGTATTTATTGGCCTGACTTAATTGTACCAAACACA